TTTAGTTAATAGTTAATCACAAGTCCTCGTGGGTTCGACATCCGATTTTTAGTCACTTTATTAAGACAGTGTATACTTGCGTGTGCGTTTGGCTGCAACACCTATACCACCTATTTATTTGCTTCTCCGGTGTGAGTCATTTCCTTTTTAACAGCTTAAGCATCTAAAGCAGGAAAATTATTAGATTGTGCTTCTCGATTGTTTATGAATTCGATATGCAGATTAGGATAATGAGAATGGGCAGGAAAAGAAAGAAATGAATGCATGGTACCTCCGGACACCGTAGAATAAATTTGATTGAAATGAGGATCTGATTCTTCCGGTGAGGCCATAAGTCATTTTGATATAAAATTTTATTTTTAATTTTATTTATTATTCTTGATACGGAAGGGACCTTTTTCTTTCATGGTATAAAGACATAAAAATACATTTTACAGGATAGGCCTCACCCTAGTGTTACTACTGTAATACTGTAAAAGAAGCTTTTGCTTTTTTCTACCACTAAATAAATCACTAGTTAAAAGGAAGCAATTGGAGTTTATCTAAAGTTTCCAGAACCATGAACTCACAATTCTGGCTCTGCCTCTGAATTATGACCTAGCTAGTTTGATGACCACATTAATGGCTTGGATAATTTCAGTATGGCAAAGGAAGAAATAATACTTGCAAATATATGTATTATAACACATTCACCTTTGGCTTTCCTATTATATAATCTCTAAGGTAATGTATGTAACAACATATATCAGGAAAAGACAAAACCAATGAGCAGAAAGCTTAAAATCCTTTGTCATAAGTTCTTAAGGGAATGTTGATCCAGTAAAATATCGTCATAAAACAGACAACAAAATAACTACAAAGTTAGATTCATCGCTCAAATCACTAAAACAACAGTTAAGATCACTGGGTTTTTAACCTGAAATAAAAAACATAGAAGAATGTTGTTCTTCTTTAGTTAGAAATGTAACGGCTATAGAGATAGAATGGTTTGAATGTGAACTCAACTTTTTGCAATATTGGTTTGTTGAACATTGTCTATACTGGAAACTCTATTTATACAAACTGAGTGAAGGCTCCACTTTGACTCCCTGTAATCTATTTTGGATTCTGCACTATCTGACACTACTCTATTTTGAATCAATTAATTCAGTGAACTTTACTGTGTTGTATAAGCAGGAGCACGCACTTACAAGAAAGCGCTGTTCAGTTTGGCTTATAAGCATATCCCTAGTGGACGACAGCAGTCTTGCTAATTGTTCTACTTCTGGAATTCCTTGTGAAGGAGTGAAAGGGTTGAATGCACTTCCGCGTACCTCATTCGTATTGTTTTCTGTTCCTGATTATAGAAAATGACTTAGCCACATACCTCTAAAGTGAAAGGAAAACATAAAAGAGGAAGAGAAGTACTGACCATTTATACTATATTCTTGTCTCATTATGTTGAGATATCGTGACAAAGTTTCTATAGAGTTAGGGATTTCCTGCAACAACCAGACTGTTATACAGTACTTGTCTACAACCTAAATTACAAATCCCAAGAAACGGCAGCGACAACCCCCTCAATATTACTTCAAAGTGACAAAGGGAAGAACACGCGTTTCGCAGAGGATGTACACACAAATAATGCATTGACATATAAGCACTATAAGGATGATCAGTATGATAATAGGCGAATGAACTTACCTGTAGAGTATCTGGAGAAATCCCATCAGTAGCACCTGAGGTAGAGCAAATAGAACAGGCAGGAGTAAGTATAATGTAAAGATACGAAGTATAATGTTCTTCAGCTAGAATAGAGAGAACTGATCATGAGCCGAAGGTCAAATGCATTAACAAATAACATGACTTACAATCACGATTCAAGTGAACCATAAATTGACGATCCAACAACATGGTTAAGATAAAGTACCAAAATCACCTGATCAGTAAGCAGAAGGAGTAGGTGGTGGCACGTCCATCTTAGAACTTAGAAATGACAAAAAACTATTCATAGCTTGCAACCAAATATTTGAGAAGTATTAAATGGTTTTGAAATTTTCTACTTTCACTTGCGACACAAAAAAAAAATTACGTAAAGAACAATCAGTAAACAATTTGTAATGGATATTTAGGAGGAGATTGTCTACACAACTTCTGAACCAACATCATATATTAAAGAAAGCTCATTACCAAAGGATGACGACATGCTCTGGACAGTGCAAACCAGATGCAAAGTATCACCATTTTGAATATCTAATTAGCGTTAAGTCTCCGATGGGGAAAGAAATAATAAGAGCAAAGAGACACAGCCTAAATCTCCTACACGTAAATGCATCAAATCTTAAGGAAACTGCCAGCCACTTGATGTTTAAAGAAAACCATTTTTCTCCAAGTAATACTACTTTGAGAAACTACTGCAGTAGTAATGCATTTTAGGTTCAGCAAAATTGCAAAAGAACTTTAAATTGTACCGTACTAAAGATGATCATATATAAAGTGAATAAAAAAGGATACTGTATGAAGAAAGGAGGTCATCATCCTGTAAGACTTTTCCACAATAGATTAGACGCTGTTGTTCCACCGGCATCCCAATCAAAAGAGATACGTGTTCTTTCATGTTCCATACTCTCCTCTGCACGACATCACAAATGGAGATCAGCACATAACCATAGTCATTAAAAAAGTGAGAATGCATGCATAAACTATGTGGTTGTGCAAGCAAAAATCGTATGGTTTAGTGTTAAACATGCATAATTAATGTATCGCACAATTTTCTTTTACTTAATGAAATAGGTAACAGTTCATAAGTTAATATCAACAAACAAGTACCTGATTGCTAATGCGCAAATTGTGGGTTTGAGAGTTCATAGTTTTTACTTTTATCTCAATCATCGTATCAATGCCTTCAGATTTATGGCCCTCAGAAGCTTCACCAGTGTGAGTCATTTCCTTTTAACAGCTTAAGCACCTGAAGCAGGTCAAGTTATAAGATTTAGTCTTTCTCGATTGTTTAAGCGTTCAACATGCAGATCAAGATAATGGGGACTACCAGTTGACTATGAGATCCATCCTCAACAACAATATGAGAGCAGAAATTTACAATGAAAATGGAACTCAAGAAACAAGAACCGAAGAGAAAGTAAATACTTTTTCGAGACAGATAGCAGAAGTACATCTAAACTTATGCGCAGGGTATGTATGGTTAAAGCACAGATATGGAAGTACAAACTCCAAAACAACTAGTTAGATTAATGGAAACTGTTCAGAACTTGCAACTGCAGAATGCATGAAATTAGTTTCTTTACAAGAAACAAACTGAATACCTACCAATCTAATTAAAGTTTTAATTTTACTAGGTATGACCTAGTTTAAGAATGCTACATTGTAACAGGGATAAAAAGACACATATTCATCTAAAAACAAAAGTTTTGCATGACAGTATATATTTAGATTAGAAAGAGGTAAATTTAGTGCCGGATGTGGAGCAATAACTAGTAATAGGTCGATGCGCATATATATGGGAAGAAAAAGTAAGGCTCATTATGTCACAAAGATCATGTAGAAGTCATTCTGATATATTTTGCATTTTAAATTGAGAAGGTTACAAAGATCAGGACCACTAACAAAGTAACATTTTAAATACTCACAATAGTAAAATTGAAGGAAAGCTTCAAGAATACCAAACCTGCACAATAAGTTATCATTAGCAAGTTATAAAGAAGAGAAGCTTTTGACATGCAGGTTATAAATCTCAGATCTCATGAGCCGTATAAGTACACAAACAATGCAATAGATAAAGCTAAATTCAAATCCAACAATCAAGTAAACAACCAATTCATGAAAGTTACTTGTTTCATTCTACAGCTTAGATAAAATGAAATTCATTTCCCAAAGGGTACACATCATGGTTCGAACGTTGGTATACACAACAGCCTGGTATTCAAGTGGAGAAGGGTAGAGGCGGGGCCCATATTTTTAGAATCTTGCACCACTGGCCCTCGGGATATCTCTGTTACTAAAAGAAAATCATTTCTTATGCGGAAGAAAATGAACCTTGACGATTATTGAAACCGAAGAGACCAAGAAAGCTTTCAACACAAAGCACCACTTAATTAGCTAATGAAATTCTCTATGAGAAAGACCAAATGCTATCACGAAAAATTGCTCAATTCATATCCTCTCTGCGTTCATATCTGATTTTAGTACATGCATGATGCCTTTTGATTCGCAAAAACTTTTTCTTGAAGCACACAACAAACTAAAATGCTTAAAGGAAAAGCTCTTTTATCAGAGTCCAGATTGAAAAAGTTAATTAAGAGAAACACCAATCTTATCATCCAAATAAGGACATTCCCATATATGGGGGATTTTTTTATACATAAACTGAATGTAGGGGTTAGAAATCAAGACTTCAAGAAGGAAAAAAAACGATTCAGATAGAAACAATCAAACTAAAAATTATAAGAAGCTTTATCGAAAACCTGAAAACCCCCAAAAAATTGATCACTCAATTCACTGAAAAAACACAGTAAAATCACTGGGTAACAATAACCTGAAGAAAAAGAGAAGAAACGTAACGCCCGCCCAGAAGGAGAGAATTGTTGAATGTGAACAGCTATATATGAAGAAGGCTTACTCATTTTGTCTTTGCTGGACATTTATTCTGTAATCCATTTTGGATTTTGACTCTTTATAATCCATTTTGGATTGTGCCTACTCTTACACTTCTTCAACTTCGTGGCAATTGAGGCAATGTTTTGCAGCTTCACTTTTTTTTTTCCTTTCTTTTGACTGTATGTTGAAGCATCAACTGTCATCACTAAATAGAAATACGCAAAGGATATTTTCTTGCGGTTTATGCGAAAATTTATTTCTTTTTTATCCGTTCAAAAAATAAATGATCCATTTTTTAAATTTGAAAATAATTTAGTTTAAACCACTTTATTTTTTATAAGAAAAGTACAGGTGTACCCTTTCCCCAATCAATTTTAGCTTATTTTATACCCTTTCCGTCCCAATTTATATAACGATTTATAAATTTCGACAATCAAATAAATTAATTTTATCCATTAATGCAGTCATGAAATTTTTAAATTTTTTGAAATAAAATTTAATATTAAGATACTCTACAAAAAGTACTATAAGATAGAATAATTACCCATTCAAATTTTTTTAAAAGTCATATTACAAATCGTAATCAAAGAAAGAATCGTTTGATTCTCGAAATTTAAAACATAAATTGGGACGGATGAAGTATATAATTTAAAGTTTTTTTCCACCTATTAACAGTGTATTAAGATTTGTATTAGAAATCTATTTGATAGTGATAGTCATGTTTATCATTATAGATTTAAACATTGTTGGATGAATAAGGTGAAAAATTAAAATTTCATTGTTTGGATTTTTGAAGGCTTGAAAACATATATCGTGATTTATTGAAATTGTTGATAAATTGAGATTGGAGTTGGCTTGGGATATCATTTAGAAGTTGTGGTTAAAATTTAAAGCTTTTGGTAAAATTTTTAGCTATTTGATGATGTTTTTCATGAGTTAAATTTCGTAGGAGGACGAAACTTAATTTTTGTATAATATATTATACAATATTAAAACAAGTATATATGTTGTATAATATTATATATTAGGGGTAAAATTACTGTACAAAAAATATTGAGTTATGCAATTGTAAACTTGAAACATGGCTACGTAGGTACAATGTAGTGTGGTGAGTTGTATTTTTTTGCACATCTCTCTATTTAATAAAAATCTTTTAAATTTACAAGTAAAAGAATATGTGTAACCACTGCCCTAGGCCAGTTTAGGGGTGTGCATAATTTGGTATGTTCCAAATTATAGAACAAAAACAAAAAATTTCGTATTTCAATTTTGGTATTTGGTTTAAAAATTTTAAAAATTGAATATTTAGAAAAACAATACCGAAACGAATACTATATTAGAATACATACTATATACACACAATACATATATATATTAGATGATCTTACTTGTGCAAAATTTGAAGTATTAGTCAGCGTGGCCAAGGACTGTACATACTTCCATACACAATTTTGACTATAGGGAAAGGACATAAATATTCCTCTAAATTATGGTTGAATTTTCAGTTACACAGTTTTAACCTTTGCAAGGGTCTTATCTTCCCTTTAAAATCTTTTGAAACAGAATAAATACGGTAACCTAGGATGGTTGTTTAACCAAAAAATAGGATTTTTAGTCAAAGTCTATATTTAGAAAAAATTGGGCTACTGATAACCAAATAATACCTTACTTGCTCAACAATCCGTTTGAAAAGAGAGAAATAAAAATAACAATGTGAATTAGTAAAAAGAAGTAAGGAATGAAATGATAATCTATCTCTCAAATTAAGTAGAAGACTTTGGTAAGGCGAGAAATTGTATATATATTTGAGTAGTGCTTGGAACTTGTCCTTACAAGTGGGATTCTCTATCCTTATATAGGAGTATCTAATCATAACGTTTTTTCCCTATTTATGACGAATTCATTATGAGCATTAATGGTATTGATTGCTCGTTATGGTTGATAACCATAACTGACGTATTTGTATGCCTTATAACGATTCCGATTCCTTTTTCTTATTTACTGCTGGTTCATGAATCTTTCCTCCTTTTTAGCCTTGATTCATTCCGCTCGCGCCTCTTCTTCAACAGCTGTTTAGGCTCGGTCATCTGTACTTTACTATCTCGTGGCTGTTTAGTCTTCATCTTCCTTGCACTCTTAATTTCATTAATGGAATATGCCAGTTGTCACTTTACCATTGTTCCACGTATTATGCTTTGTCAGCTTAGTAAGGTTCCACGTGTGACATCGTTTTTCCACCAATACAGATAGTCCCCCCACTTTCTGAATATTATTCAATTGAATATTCGGGAAGTAGTAAGTATTTATGGCGGGAATTGTTTGTAGCCGCTTTTCAAGTATCATTGCGTTTTCTTCAGAATCAACGCGACGTATGTCACGTCTATTTAATGCATGTACCACACGGCTTTTAACGATTGGTTCTGCAATTTTTCAGCACTTTTTAGGATTTTACTGCGGCTGTGTCAGTCACGAAGTGACAATTTCATTATGAAGCTTCATAATGACCTACTTTTAATGATGATTGTGTCTTCTTATAAATACTTCATTCTTCTTTGATTTCTCGAAATATTTCTTCTACAGTATTCTCTATATTACTCTTCCTTCTTGTTTCCGCATCCACTCTTTGTTAATTCTCCATATAATCATGTCTTCTTCTACACTAGACCCCCGCAAGGTTGTGATCGTTGATGAACTCGCTCTTTCTATTGTCCCTACTATAAGTAGAAGAGGTGGTAGACTCTGTAGTTTAGGCTAGTTGTCTAATCTGGTTCCTCTTCTCATGGCAATGTTGCTAAACCTTCCTCTTATAAACTTAGGGCTCCTTTAACCCCTATATCTTCTTCTAGGAATAGAGACTCGAGTGAACCAGCTCGCGAACCAACAGTTGCAGAGATTGTTCCTCAGGAATTTTTTTTTTCAACTGATCGTGAATCCATGAGAAATCAAGTTTCATCTATAGCTTCCCTTAATCATGCCGACCTTTATCCAACCTTAATTACTACTGGTCTTATTTCCCTGGTTCGAAGAGAATGTAATTGAAAACCAGATTTCCCAATCTTAGTTCCCGGTTCCAACCAGAGAATTACTTCATACCAAGCTGGTTATTCCTTTGTTTACACTAACCCCTTTACTGAATGTAATTGAAAACCAGATTTCTCAATCTTAGTTCCCGGTTCCAATCAGAGAATTACTTCATACCAAGCTGGTTATTCCTTTGTTTACACTAACCCCTTTACTTTAGGGTTCAAACCACCTATCGAACCCAGTAATCATTAAATTCTGCCATTATTTCAACGTGTGTCTTGGACAAATTGACCCCATTGTTTGGAGGGTTGTTGCATGCCTTCATTACTTATCAGATCTAGCTTCTATACCTTTTACTTTCTGACACTTGCTTCATCTTTACTCTCTTAAACTATTTCGTGAAGGAGTTTTTTCTCTTGTGGCTAGAAGTAAGAGAGTATTGGTTAGCCCTGAAGATGACATGGATCGTGGCTGGTATGCCCGTTTTGTTGTTATTCCCACTAGTGCTTTAATGGGTGAAGAGAACATGCCTTTTTCAGAAAAATAGAATTTTGCACGTAAGTTTTTTCCTCTGTCTTTTCTTTTTCTCTTTTTTTTAAAGAACCTCATGTGATCACGTGCCTACTTTTTCAGCAACCATGAAAGTTTTTGAGGAAATTTCTAACTTCCGTGCTTGGGTAGATAAACTGCTAATTGTTTCCCCTATGGAGAAAAGATCTTGGAAATACCTTTCACAGAGATTTGGCTGGAAAGTGAAGACACACAGTACTTTTCCCGCTTATTATCTTTCCTCTCATCTCCCTTATTAGTTCAAGAGTTTCTTATTTTGCCCTTTTTCTTTATTAGGATTTCCCATTCGCGATATTAGTCTTGCGTCTGTTCCATCCACAAGGCTTTCCGTGACTCTTGCTCAGGAAAGAATTTTGAGTTCTTCTTCTTCAAAAAGGAAGGTTGATGGAGCTCGTGGCTCTGATGGTGAAGAAGACACTGAAGACGTATCTTTGGTGAGAAGGCCACGTGTCAGGAGACACGTGATTTCCGATGATGAAAATACTCCTTCTCACGACCTTTTACCAAGTTCAATTCCTTTCAGTCTCATGGATGAGCCAGTGAGCGCTCCTTTTATGATTTCTGATGAAGAAGTTAATGATCCTCCCCAAGATTCTGTTGAAAAATTGTTTGCTCGTGGCTTCGAAGGTGATGAAGCTTTTGGTCCTATTTATGAGGAATTTCCTCTTGCCTCCCTTCCAATCTCAGTCCCCGTTAACCCACGCATGTCCTTACCTGATGCAACTTCTGATGCTACCCCCGTGGTTGCTTCTACTTCGTCTGCCATCCCCGTGACTAATCTTTCTCATGTAAAAGTTGAACCTTCCAGTAGCAAGAGGGCAATGAAGAGAGTTGTTGTTGAGGTTCCTGAAGATGGGAACTTGTTGAGAAAATCTGGTCAAGCCGATGTGTGGTTGAAACCTCTGCTAGGTCCAGCAGAGAAGTCGAAGTTGGATACTCATAGCTCGTTGACCTTGATAAATGATATTGTTCATTCTTCCTTGAAGGTACGAGTTCAATTATATTTCCTTTCTCTTCTTTTTGTTTACTCATAACTCCTATTTTTTTGTAGATCAACTTGATTGGTTCAGAATTTATGAAAAGAGTTGTTCATGCGAACCAACAAGTTATAGACTACCGCACCGAGGCTGATAATTGGAAAGGACAATTTGAAGGTCTTCAATTGGAAAAAGAAGTTTTGGCAGAGGAGAAGAATGCTTTGGAGCAACAAATGAGAATGATTGCCGCTAAATTAGCGATTGAGAAAGCTTCTTCTAGTCAAGTTGGTAAGGATAAGGATATCCTTAAATCCTCCTTTGCTGAACGTCTTTCTAAGGCAACTGAAGAAATAAGGAGTTTGAAAGAACTTCTTAATCAAAAGGAGGTTTATGCGGGAGAGCTGGTTCAAACACTTACTCAAACTCAGGAAGATCTTCGCGCCTCTACTGATAAGATTCAGTTCTTGGAAAGTTCACTTGCTCCTTTGAAGACAGCTTATGATGCCTCTGAAGCAAAGAAAGAAGAGCTGAGATCCGAGATTAACCAGTGGGAGAAGGATTATGAGATTCTCGAGGATAAGCTAACATAAGATGTGAGTTGGGCTTTTCTGAACACTCATCTCGAGACTCTAGTTGAGGCCAATCAGGAGGGTTTTGACCTTAATGCTGAAATTGCCAAGTCTAAAGAAGCAATTGAGAAAACTCAGCAACGTCAAAGCTTTTCCTCGCCTGAAGTCGAAGATCTCAGAGGTGATGGAAATGGACTCGTTCCTGATGAGGCTGATGCTCAAGCCTCCTCTTCTCAAATTAATCCCTCTTCTCCCTTTGATGATGTTCCCGTGGATGATACCCCCATAGATGATGCTCCTTAGTTTTTCCTATTTTTATTTGGTTGTTTTGTTCGCAACTTTTTGGTAGAAAGTATTTGGGAAGGATGTTTTTTGGTTACCCCTATCTTCTTTTGGGGTTTTAATGATAAACTAATGCCCTTGTTTTCCCAAGATTTAATATATATTTCGGTTATTTTTACCGTTTATTTTGCTCTTTGATATTTGAGTCTTTTCTTTGCACTTAAAAATGCTTAAACAATCCGTGACTTTAATAAACACGAATTTTTATAAAAGAGGGCCCTTATATGTTAACGACACTAATGAAGATGACGTCTCATTTCCATATTGGTGTAAATTTATGAAAGACGAAGTAAACATGAAAAAGAAATAATTTGAGGAAGTTTTATGCTTTGAACTTTCAAATTTCGTACATCATTTTTCATTTATGCATATAACACTTGTACATCATTTATGCATACAACACTTTCATAACTGCTTTCTTTGTAACAGATTTTTAAAATTCAAAATCGGGTCTATTATCCCCTGACTAATTTTTGGCCTTAACCTAAAACTCGTAACTCATGTCCTTTTCGCAAGTTTATGCCTTCCCAAGTTTTCTTCAAAGTTTTTGATTCGGGCTTCTATATGTATAGTTCCCCAAGTGTTGGAGCTTTGAAGTATGAAATCTCGAACACTGGATTACTCGTTGCTTGTGGTCTATTTCTTGAAAAGGAAAATACATATGGAACTCGAAGATATATATTTAGATGATAACTGCATAATCCCTTTTTCCATCAGAAAGGTTGTAACCTAGACCGAAAATTTATTTAGTATTCCGCGTGTCTTACGGGTCTAATATCATCATTTGGTACGGGCTAGCTTTTTGCCTATCAACTAAAATTGTTAGTATAATTCAAAAGAATAAAATAAATTTCTAACTGATTGATACCTGTCCATGGTTACTTTCTTCATCTAAAAGTAATACTTCTTCAGATGAACAACATTCCAATTTGATGGTAGTATCTTGCCATCCATGGTTTCCAACTCATATGCTCCCTTTCCAGCGATGCCTCGAACCCTATAGGGGCCTTCCCATTTTTTGGACTCAATTTTCCTTGATTGAAATACTTTTTTGAGAACGAAGTCCCCAATCTTGAAGTATCTCATATTAGCTTTCCTGTTATAGTATCGCTCAATCATTTGTTTCTGAGCCGCTATCCTTATTAGCATCGCTTCTCTCATTTCCTCTAGTAAATCCAAATTCATTCGCATCTCTTCCTCATTTGACTCCTCGGTTGCTTGTTTATACCTTGTACTTGGTTCACCTATCTCAACTGGGATTAAGACTTCATCACCATAGACAAGTGAAAACGGAGTCTCTCTTGTGCTGGTTTTGGTTGTCGTTCGATAAGCCCATAAAACTCCTGGTAATACTTCGGGCCATTTGCCTTTTGACTCTTCTAATCTCTTTTTTAAATTATTAATAATAACTTTATTTGTTGACTCAGCTTTCCCATTGGCTGCAGGGTGGTGATGTCGCCTAAATTCACACCACTGATTGGGATTGTGAAGCGATTGATGCAATTATAATTACCCTACTTTGAGTCGGGGTCGATTCCTCAAAGAGCTTATATTAGATTAGGTATATACTTAGACTAGGTGTATGACGTGCCTAAAATGCATTTTCATATACTTGGTTGTTTCTTTCTACTTCTAAAATTTATGCTATTGTTTGTAAATGTAAATCTATAGAACGATATTTTTGGTGTTGTTGTTTTTCAAGTTTATAAAAGATCTATGGATATGACTTCCACCTAGGTAGTTACCTAACGGGTTATGGGCTTTTGGTCATGTTTCGTTGGTCGGGATGTAATATAGCAATCAACACGCGATTACCCACTCGATACCTCTCGGTAGTTAGAGTGGTTTTGCCCAATTTGACTTTCTCATGTCCAAATGGGTAATTCACAAAACCGTTGATATATGCTCAAGTCGGGTCTTACTATCTCTAGATTCAACCCTTTAATTGGGGCTATCAATTTCTTGAGTTCACCCTAATTTCTTGTTAGCCAAGTTTTCCTAGACTTAGTCTCTCTTTTTCGAGTAGAGACTAAGTCAATTAGGCATGAATCAATGTTTGCAACCATTAATTCCTAGATTCAAGCAAGAACTAGGCTAAATATCATACACCCAATATTAAACAAGCCCTAAATCAAATACCCATTAGGTACCCACACTAGGGTTGAGTCACAACCCTAGCTAGAGATTTAGCTACTCATAGGCAAAAATGAAGAAACTAAGGAAGGAAATAAGATTAAACTCATAATAGATGATAAAGGGATGAAAATCCAATGTTAAAATGATAAACTAATACAAAGTTTCCCAAAGCAGTAAAGGAAAAAACGGCTATCTACTTTCTGGAGTTCAAACTTAACCTAAATTTGACAAAAAGAACTATTTATAAATAGCTAAAATTATCGGACAAAATTGCCCCTGTAGAGGTTCTGCGGCTGCACAATTCTGTGTGCGGTCTGCACTTTGAAGATGGGCTTGACAGGATGGGCTTCTGCGGCCGCACAATTCTGGGTTGCGGCCGCACTTCTTCAGATTCTGCGGACCGCATATTTCTGAGTGCGACCGCAATCTTGAATTTGAGCTTGACAGGAGGGACTTCTGCAGATCGCATATTTCTGATTGCAACCGCACTCTTGAATTCTGCGGTCGCACGATAATAGTGCAGTCCGCACTTCTTCATGGACCCAGAACTCCTTCTCTCTGAACCTCATCTTCTGCGGCTGCACAATAATTGTGCGGTCCGCACTTTGCAAAGGAATTCCGTCAGAGGTCCTTCATAGTCTGCGGCCGCACTCAATATTGTGCGGTCCGCACTTTACTCTTTTTACTTGGTTTTAGTCCTTGTCCAAAAATACTCCTTCTTGAGTTGAATTTCATCATTTTAGCTCTTTTTCCAATACTCCTGTAAGTAAGCACATTTTATCAGTTTTCGGGAATACCTTTAAGCATTTTTGAGCTAAAACTAAAGTAAAAGAGTGCAAATAAGTAGTCAAAATCCCTACTTATCAACTCCCCCAAATTTAAGCTTTTGCTTGTCCTCAAGAAAATAAGGTAATTCCCAACTCCATAAAAAAAGAGCTATTTCAGCTGGCCTAAGTTGCATCAATCATCAATTGGTACAAACAATTACCCACACACTCATTAATTATCAACAAGGCCATATTTTGAATGTTAAAGCACAAATAGCTCTAATGTGACACTTGAGCATCAAGAGTTGACTTTACTCATCAAGGAAGTTCGCACTTTCATATAGGTCATTGTGGATCCCAAACTCCTTCTCCTATACTCTCCGTAAGCTCATCTCACTCAAAAATATAGCACTCAATTCAATGATTCATGAAAGGTTCGCTCATCACTCTCAAAAGAATATCACAAGTGCGGCTCTAAGTACCATATACTTGTCCCTCATGTAGATCACTACTAATGTAAGCTTACTCGGCTTGAAATCACGTAGGGCTTTTTCGGCATGTAATGAAGGCTTTTGGACTAAGGAGGGAAATGTTGGAATGCAACGAGTTCATCTTTCCTTTAGCACTCCATTTTCTCTTTTTGGCTCATACTCTGCCGACTTTTTGAGTCATTTTCTTTTTCCTTAGGAAAACTAGAGAGACTTGACATCACTCTTTCTTGGTCATGATATTCATATTCACCTTCTTTGTTTTCTCCATGCTTTGCACTTTTGCTTTCTTTTGAATCCTTTCGTCGCTTTCTTTTTGTGTTTTTCTTTTGTTCTTTCTTTCTTTTTCTTTGCCTTTCCTTTTCTTCATTTATTTTCTCTTCTTGTTCCTTGATACTACTTTCAAACTCTTCATCTCTTTCCCAAACTTATATTTTCGCCATTTGTTTCTCATGAGTGCTAAGGAAAGCTAGGATGCCTAGAGAGGGTCACTATAAAACGGGTAAAGGTTTGTAACATGGTTGTCGAATGAAAAAGGCTTTAGGCTCAAAAGGGTTGACTAAGGATAACATCATTGGTAGGCCATGGAAGGTTTCAAAACTGGTCAAGGAGAGCCTACAATCACTTCTCAAGCCAAGCAAACTTAGAATTTTACCTAGAAACACATTCGGGGCAAGTTATAGACCATTCGTACGGGTACTTGGTCTAGTAATAAAATATCTCACCTCTCACACAACCGGATTGTTAAAGAGGATAGAGTTTAGGGCCCACAACAATCGTATTCAAGATTGAAGATCGCTAATGGTTCAACTAAACCACCCGATGATTGCCTAAGTCAACACAAGAGTCACAAGATCACTAACTAGAGCCATTTCTTTCTACAAGCTTGTTTTTAACCATAAACATGTAGTTAAGTGTGTTGGTTCCAAGTGAAGCATGATTGACCCTTTTTTATTCATTAACACTAATGTTTCTACCTAAATATCAAAAACAGACTCAATCCCTTAAGAAAGTTGTCACGCCATCTATCGTTGGAAAGAGCCACCCGGTTCACACAAAACCCACCTTTGGAAAGAATCGTGGCATTAAGAAATCCAAAAGCTTATTGCTCACTTAAACATAAAAAGAAGCTACTGAATAAAAAAGAAGCTATTAACATAAATAAAAAGCTAGACTACTAAGAAAACAAAATAAAGAAGCTATGAAATAAGCTATTAAAAGTAAGACAAATGAATATACAAACCGAGGGGAATAAAATATATACATCAAAAGAGAGGGAGGAATATATACATAATGAAAAAGAAAATAAAGATAAAAGAAAAATAGTATTAAAGTTATTACAAGCCAATGTCATCAAATCAAACCAACCAAAATAGACTACCCCCTGAATAAAAATAAGCATTGTCCCCAATGCTTAGCAAAATCAAAATAAGGGAGGGTAGAGAGTAAAGAAAACTCCCTATGTGGTCTCATGGTGCATGGAAGCATCACCACCCTCGGGCTCTTCCAACTGGATCTCATCATCCTCTACTCGGGGAACAACGGGGTTGGTGAACATCTGAAGCACCTCCTCGGCAGTATGGGCAGCAAGGTCTGGCTTGTCAGACTGGCCAACTGGTGCCTCTGATGCTGGGTCTGCTGGTACTGATGGAGCTGTCTCCATCAGTAGGTCAAATGGTAAATCACCAGCTGCTACAATCTTTGTCACCTCCTATCTCAATTTCTCTACAGATTTCTTCGAGGCCTGGTATTTCCTCATCTTTTTCACCTGTTTGCCCAACTCCTCAATAGCTCCCCCATGTGCCACCAGTGTATCCATAATGGTCTTCTGATTTTCCAGGATCTTCTTCAATGTTTCCTCCACTAACGGAGGAACCTGTGGTGCTGTTGGTGTAGAAGACTGTGCTGCAATAGAACTGGATATGTCAGACAGCTTTGAAGTAGCTGTCTGCATCCAGTTGTTGAGACTCGCCAGTGTCTGGGAGACTCACAGCGCAGTGAGTGGATATGTGGATGAGGCAGGCACTGGTACTGAAGCTGATGGTCTAAAAGATGAAGGTGGTGGCATGTCAGCTATCTCGGTGGAAGGACTGGCTAATGTAGAAGGCATAGGAGCTGTAGAAGGCTCAGCAGCTAACTCTGTAACCACCACTGATGGCTCATCAGACTGACCAACGGTGGTAGTTGCCTTACCCTTGAACTTTGGGTTTTTCGGACCTTGCAAGGAGTACCATAAGAAGGGCTTCTTGGCCAACACTTTTGTATCAAAACTCCTCGGCTCCACCTTTTCATCTGTGAAATATTCTGTGAGGGTGTTGGGATATGGGTAGGAGCTTTCACCTTTTCGAACAACCACTGACATGTTGGCCGACATGATGGCACCCATATTGATTGGGTATCCGGCCATAATAGATGCCACCAAAACTGCTCGGGGGATTAGAAGATTGTTCTCATTCCGGTTTGGGTAAATACGGCTGCACAAAAACGTTTGCCACCCTTTTGCTTGAAAATTGAGGGTGGCCCGTGCAATAGGAACCCCTATTGTGATCCATGGTGGTGGTGGTCCTGGAAGAGCCAAAATCTCTGCTAACCACCCATATCAAGCTTCTCCAAGTACTGGATTCCTCTACCTCCTCGAATCCCAGGTAAATGTTCAGAGTGCGTGGGTCGAATCGCACTTTCAAATTTCTCACTTTGGTCATTTTGGTACCCTTCTTGATGTTTTCCTCATTGTCATAAAACTCCCGTACCAAGTGCTCTTTGGCATCCATAACACTCTGGGTGAACCACATCCACCCCTTGTGCTCCCTGAACTGCTTAAGGATATTTGGATTATATTTATCCAAATCATTCAGCAAGAATTGTCGCTCAAGTATGAGCGATCTCTGGGGCCACCACTCTCTAAACTTTGTGAAGGCAGTCAAACTCACGAACCTATCTTCCCATACTTCCTTCTTCTTCGACCTCTTTAAGTAGCCCACTCTAGTGTCATCTCCCCTACCATCATCAGGAACATCATCATCATCTACTACAACTGGTGCAGAGGGAGTGTGTGTAGAGGAGGGCTCTAAACCCTATCTACCGGCATCGGAACCCTCATAAGAACTTGCTGTGGTGGAGGGTTTGTTGCGCAGTTGGTATCTCCCAGTGAATTGTGGTGGTTGGGACTGGGTCTCAGGCGATACCTCCACTGAGTGACCCTCGGAGGCTTCCCTAGATGGGACATACGAGCTTGATTCTGAGGGCTCTGTGGCGCTACCTCTCCCAGTGGTCGGCTTTTTGACTATTGCTTTTGATTACACTCTCAGAGGTTGAGTGCCCTTTCCTTGGCCTCGGGAGAGTTCACCCCTCACTTTATATGTATAACCTCTACCTCAAGATCGAACCATTGACTGCAATACGAAGCACATAAGTCAATTAAAGTTCAGAAGCATGTTAACAGTTACAGGAAATCAGTGTACAAAAGAGACAATGCGGACAACACAATATTGAGTGCGGCCACAAACTGCCTTGTGCGGACTGCACAATTTCAAAGTGAGGTCGCACATGCTAATTGCGACCGCACAATTTTAAGTGTGACCGCACAAAACCAGGTTCAGACTACGGGTTCTCTGAAGTCCCAAATTGCGGTCGCACACATTTTTCCATGGACCGCACAATTTTTCTGCGGACCGCAGAATTTTGAGTGTGGTCCGCACTTTTCATGCATCACATTTTGCCCTAACTCAAGATCTGCGGACCGTACAATTTTATGTGCGGCCGCACAATTCAAAAATAAAACAGCACTGACTTAGGTTTTGCAATTTCTTGACAATTTAAACATGATATTTGCAAATTAAACATGATGAATGATCTACCAAGTTCCCAATGAGCACACATGTAATTACCCACACAATTTCAAGCACAAATGAAGAATATTTGACATTTTAGGCCTAAAAATAACTATACTAATTATGAACAAAAACTAAAAAATTGAAAAATCTAAACATGAATTGAACATACTAGTGATGAAGGATGAAGGTAAGAATCTACACTGATGAAATGAATGTGGAGTGTGAGGTACTTTGTGTGCAATGTGCTTGCTTAGGTCTCAAAAATTCAGAGTGTGTAAAGTTGTGAATAGTGCAATGAGGTCATATTTATAGGTTGACCAAAGTCGGTCAAAATTGAAGTTGAGTGCGGACGCACAATTTTGAGTGCGGTCCACACTCTTTACCTGAACATTGCTGAAGTTCTGTGGTCCACACAAAAGTGAGTGCGACCGCAGACTCTTTACCTTAACC